ATCTATTATGAGTTTGTACATAAATGAGGCTATATTTAAACCGGCACGTGTCCTTGAGACAGAAGGTGTACCTAAAGATTTTAGTTATTTTTTTTATTTTTTTTATAAAAGATTAATATTTAAAAGCTTTTGAATATTATGAATGGAAACAGATTAGACACATAGAACAAAAAAGTTACGAGAATGGAGACTCTCCGCCCCTCCTTAGCTTTAGATACCGCACCCCGCCCCGCACATTAGCGGTCACATTGACTGAACGACAGCAAGGCTGTCGGCGAGCCGTTTTCGCGATAAGACGGTTTTGATTTTGAATATAGTTTTCATTTGTTGATTAGACAACTTGGACGTTAATGAATAAAATCATTGTACGTTACAATTTATAACTGTCTTGTATACGGCTGTTTATCATCATCTAAACGGGATAAAGAGAGAAGTTTCTTTAGTTTTCCATAAGATGAAACAAAGTAAGTAAAAAAAAACTTATGTCTGAGACTCATTCAGTTATTGTTTTCTTCATTTATTGAGTGCAGAGTAATATATAATACAGACTTATTATATAAATATAAATCATCAATCTAAACTGCCTCTGTGGCCAAACGGTAACCACGCCGGTCTACCACGCAGAGGTCCCAGGTTCGATTCCCGGGCCGGGAGAAATATTTGTATTTCCTACATTTATTTCTCTCGTGAGTTTGGGTGTAATTTGTGGTTATCTATGTGTGTGTCCATAGCACCCGCGACACAGGGTTTTCCCTAGTAGATTTTCAATTTGTATTGCCGATAAATATTATATAGTGAATACTATACTATATACTATACTATACTATATATATATACTATACTATTAACTAGGTAACCTTGGACACGCATTTTCAAATACCTTGGTTACCTTATTTTAAAGTACATGTCCAAAATATAACATTTTAAGTGTTTTTAATATATTTTTTAAATAAATCTTCAATATTATTCTAGTTTATGAATTAACGAAAAATATATTTAATATTATATCGATATAAATACCTAATGAACATGTGTAATTATTAGGATTATATAAATAGAATTATAGATAACAGATTTGCGTTAGAATTTTTGCTATGTAGTAGTAGGTAAATAACTTTCAACCGTTGTATGGGGTATCCAGGGTGTGATAGAGATACAGTCTGGCTCTAGAACTCTGCATTACCATAACTGTTTAAAGACACCGTATGTCGGGCCAAGACGAGCTCGTCGTTTTCAGAATAGTTAAGTTTTAATAAGTAAGAAATAAAAAAACTAAATGGAGCACGACGTACCATTCCTTTTTTGTACATCTGGCATAACCTGGGCATCAATCGATGAGTACCTTACGGTAATTGGCACATTCGTTTCTTACTTGTATGCCATCGATACGATAAGAAGAAGAATAAGTAACAAAAATAAAATTATGAGCAATGTCGAAAAATTTCACCTCAACAGAAGGCGTCGTCACAACAATCATCGAGTTAATAAATTAATGTTAAAACACAATAAAACATTCTGAAATACTCAAGCGTATATGTGACTTCTTTTCCTTGTTGCCGGGTGCTTTCCAACGGTTATCAATGCGAGGACTGTCGTAAATAAAATTATTCACATTGTCGACAATCGTCCACTGAAAGAATGTCACAACACAACGTTCATTGTTGTTTTTGATGATATTATTTCCAATACCTTACGTTTGATGTTTTTGAACTTAAAAATCAAATCTCAGTAAAACATTCAAAAACATTATTCTGAATAGTAAGTCAGTAGATGTATTCTTCACAGATAAATAAAATATTGAGATTAATGAACGCCGTTTTTCTTTTAGCTAAGATCTAATTCGTGAAACCAATTTATTTGGTCTGTACTAACCTAAAGTATCTAAACCTAACCTAAACCTAAGTATAATAAAAAAAATGTATGACAAAAGACAATTATAGTTCCATCATGCTAAAGCGTCTCTATCCGCCATTGGGTTGTTTTATTTCTCTGCACGTGCGCATATTGTGCTGCGGAATGTCCGTCTGATTCAATTTTATTAATGGATTTGGACGTTTGCCCCGCTGACTGTGGACGCGACTATTCTATTTGTCGCGCCGAGTAAACTAACCAACTTATTTTTACAGCTCGCCAAAGCACTCCTATCAAACTGTACGTCTTATTTTGGTAACAAAGTACGAGATACTAAATTTTCCACCCGCAATGAGAAGTTTGCAGATCTTTAGTTATAAAGATATTATAACATGTCTGTCGACTGATTTTGTGACTTACGCCGTTATATTTGAAACAGATTTTGCTTTTCCTAGTGAATGCTTGTAAGAAATTAAAATTTCGACTAATATAAAAGATATTCTCATTAGTTGTCGCAAATTGCAGCCATACATTTCGAAAGTAGCCAACTATTTATTGCATTTTATCTTTATGGCTCACATTGAAATTCAATTATGTTTTTCACAAATATGTCAAAAATATCTCAATACATGTCACTCGACAGATACAAACACTCCAAGTGTAACGAAATAGAAATAAACTTTCATAAAATCATTGATTCGAATATATTCGGCATTCCTTCAACGTCAAAATGGATATGATTTTTTTCAATGGAATGAACGAAAATTTCATGAGCTTTATTATTTTTTTTTTGACAAGGTATTCAATGTTTTTTTCAGTACGCACTGAACATGAAACTCAAACTCGAATGATTTCTATTTTATAGGTAAGCTAATTACACCTGAAATAGTCATATTGGCTAAACTCTACTCATTCGCAATGCAGATTCCCCTGAGAAGAATAAGCAATAAACTCTAGGAGTTGCTCTTTGTAAAAGAACATTTGTACATATTAATAATATTTCATTTCGAATATCATTGATCGAGATAAACCGCAAGAGGTAAACGGGTCACTACCACGGATTTTTGTAATCCAAGTACGCAGAAGCTGTATAATAATAAACTTTAATGAAAAGTTTTCTTTCTCTATAGTTTTAAACCTTGTAAATGGCAAATGTGAATATCAACCGAAATCTTCTTATAGAATGTATATATAGCTCCTTAAATATATCTATAACTTTGTGAATATGACTGTCAAGAACAGCCATTTTGTTTTTATTCCTCATAAACGTATTGTGATGCTAGTGTAAAAATGTTATTTTTTTATTATTTCAATTAAGGAATATTTGAAATTGTGCATTGCACACGTAGAATTAGCTGGGCAGTAACGGGACCGTATTCCAGATATATAATAGAAACAAAAGCGCGAATGCAGCGAAGGTAATTATACTAAAATGTGCATTTCCCTGGTTTTCCTATTAATTTTCAAGAGGATGTTTGAAATGAGTCAGTCAAAGTTCACGAGTAAGGCTGCTTGAAATTAGTTTTAAAACTAATAAATGATGTCTGTGATGTAATGCTGGAGGTTTTAGTTCGAAGAACTAAAAATGTAATGATATTATAAAAAGCGGTGAAATGCAACGATATCTATATGTACTATAAATTCATCTATCGACGTTTGTTCATGTGGCGCTTTGACCGTTTGGATGATTTTGATTGAAAATCTTTTGATAAATCTAGCGTGAAACTACGGACTCACTACGGACATCTTCATCTCTGATTACGCGTCTCTAGGAAACGCTCTCACTTTTCCTGATTTCTGAAAGAGTTCTATCTGATATTTACCATAGTATTAACGCCTTAAATACTGAAATTTCTCTTTACAACTGCTTGAAACTGCTTGCTTGCTCTAGGTTCAGAAGTTTTAATAATTACATTTGTTGACGTTGAGAGGCTGATCTGATTCTTCTATAATGTATTCTTCCGAGTGTGTGCGCTATTATTAATATTATTATTCCGAGTAGACTATCTTATAACAGTAGACTATCTTATAAATACTCATCTCATTGGCTTGCGACCTTAAAAGAAGGAGCGTTTTTGCTCCTGGCCGATCACATTTTTGGTTTCTCATTTCAAATTGAAAGTCCTCGTCTGATCGATCGACTGATCTATATGTACAAAGTGTCACCACTTCAAGCCCTAAGACTGCCTTTCTACCAGGATTACTTTACTTTTCTAGCCTCGCTTATCGCAGCTCCGGTGTAAAAGGGTTAGCGGAGCTAAGAATTTGTACTTACAAAATAGCAAGAGATGTGTGCGAGTGATGCGGGCGAGGAATGTGTGCAAAACGGTGTAGGAAACTAGAGCTACTGAAAGTACGGCATTAACTGACACTAATACATCGTCACCGCTCACCCCACCACACCGTTACCCTCCCGTGGATGGCAGAAAAGAATCCACAACGCATTCTCGAACCGCGCCGCTGCACATCCTCTCACCGCCTAGCTACCTCGCACAGCTTTTGTGGAAAACATCACACCGTTTCACAGCGACGCTCCACATCCTCACACCGCCTCGTTACCTCGGACATCTCTGGTGGAAAGGCAGCCTAAACCTGAACCTACGTCCGCCGCGGTTACGCGCCTGCCCGATATCAATTTCCTCAACTTACTCTAAATCACCAGATTTACGCTCTTCTTACCCGAAATATATATGTCACCTTCACTGTGCGAGTGTGGAGCTGATTGTGCATTTGAACCGTTGTCTCTTCAACAACCTCGAGTCGATGGTACTCAATAATTCTGTTAGAATACTTTGTATAAGCTGATATTAGATATAAGAGATGATTACCACTGAGTGATACTTGAGTCTGATTTAATTTCAATAATTAATCAATCTTGTTTATACAGTCACGTTGCAAGTTCTCGGTGATCCTAACTTAGTTAAGTAGAGTACTATAGAGCGGTGATAGCTAAGTGGGAAAACGGGTGCTTTTCAAATGAAAAAGCGACTCTGCGAATTCTTGTTGCAGCATGTACAATCGGTACCCTTACTTATGCATCCACTATTTGTATAGCACTTAGTACAAATTGTGAATACTTAAGTGAGGGCACCGACTGTACCTATGATTTTTACCAAATCATGAATTTTATTCAAGTTTTTTTGTTACAGAATGAATTCGTAGCCAGTTTCAAGCGGCGTCCATGTGATGGCTGCTGTTAATTCGGTAAGTCTTTGTTTCTATTGGTCCAATATACATTATGTATATACAGAGTTATTAGTAAAATACTAACAACCTTGCAGAACTGTATTACTAACATCATAAACAACAACTTTTCTTCCATGACTTTTAATAATTCATCAGATTTTACTTTCGTACAAGAATAAAGATATTTAAACAGATCGCTTTAAACAGTGATTAACTCTGTGTGGTAGTTAAGCACGCGGTCGAAAGGATGTCACAATACAACTTACTACAAAATACTGTTCTAAAAAGGTTAGATAATACAACAAAAACTTAACAGAAATAAACGGAAAAAAGTTAGACCTTGTTAATAAAGCAGTCTTCTTGGGAGTGACCTTAGATAGTAAACTTCAATGGTTTCCACATATATCTTCCCTGGCCAGCAGATTAGGCTCCGCCGCATACGCAGTCCGCAGAATATGTGAGCTTACAGATGTTAGTATTGCTAGAATAGTTTACTTTAGTTACATCCATAGTATAATGTACTACGGGATTCTCATGTGGGGTAAAGTGGTAGATATTCAAACCATATTTGTATTGCAAAAACAAGCGATTCGTTCTGTGTACCGTCTAGGCTCTCGGGCTTCTCTCAGAGAAAACTTTAAGGAGACTGGTATCGTGACTGTGGCATCACAGTACATTTACTCAAATATTTTATATGCCCGTAAAAATATACATAATTTCAATAAGAAGGAAGATATCCATAATATTAACCTTAGAGCTAAGTCCAAACTCATGGTACCATGATTTCGTTTAACCAAGGAAAACAACTCTTTTCTGGGGAACTGTACGTTTTTACAATAAGATTCCAGAGCATATATTAAGTTTATCATTTGCTAAGTTTAAAAACTACATAAAAAATATTTTGATCGAAAAATCATATCACAAAATTGAAGACTACGTGTTAGATAAAGATGTATGGAAAGACAATCCACACAAATTTGATTCAAAGTATATTCCATAGCATTTAAGTTTATTTGAAAAGAGCAATCCCTGGAGTTTCTTGCTCATTCTTCTCAGGGAGGTCAGCGTAGTGAACGAGCAGTAGCATACATGTGACGTTTTCAATCGTAAATTTATTTTACCTATGGAATAACTAATCTTTGACTTTGACTTTGACATTGACAGTTTATTTTTGGTAAATTTATTTTCTCAAACATGCTCGGAAATGTTTGCATTACTTTCAAAAAACGAACACGGAAAGTTTATCATTTATGGTCCATGCGACTTCTTCTCGGCCAAGGCCTGCAAAGTAAGTATGAAAATCCATTACTGTCCTATTGTATAAACTTTTTAAATCTATCTACTAATAAAATAATAATGAACTATTTAAACAGGCAAAAGAAAATCTCACACAGCCAACTGCCCAGTGTTTGTAACTGCCAGACTTAAAAATATCTGCCTGTCCCGCTTAGTGAAAAAAAAAAAAGAAAATCGCGATAACATTTAAACTAAAGTGTTTTGGTGTTCTTTTGTTTTTCGTCTTTTTTGTATTTTGGTCGCGAAAATGAGTGCTAGGGAGAAGAGCGATAACGACAATATACAAGTTGAGTAGATACACATTCAAACATATCATCAGAAGATTAGCAGATTACTATTAAAGTGCCTGGAAAAACAATAACCTTTTCTTTTAGCAATTGTATTGTATACATTTTAATGTTAATTAATTTTTTTTTTTACTTTTTCTATTATTATAGATCTTCCTCACTTTAGTCTTTTATTATTTCCTCACATTGTTTGAGTACAATTCTATACAGGCCTCGACGGGAACGGGGATTGCTTGACTCGCTGGCACTCAGCCTTTACGCGTCCAGCAATCCTTTACTTCCTGGCCTCTGCAATAAGGTACTATGTTTTGTAAAAGTCACGGTACAAAGATATTGTTTATGATGTTAGTAATAGTCCTGTGAGGCTGTCAGTATTTGCAAATAACCATGTATATTTAACGGTGATAATAATAATACACTTCCGAACACATAATACGAGCTACTTTACATTTTTAATATTAATAAGCCTAAAAAATGTTTAATTGACCAAAAACCATTGTGCAATTTTGAAACAAAACTATACGCTATCTTGAATTTGTAAAACCGGGGATGTTTTTCCTTGCATTATACAATTTTTATAGTATTTTTAAAGCCTTCAAGAATAAATTATTATGTAAGGTGGGTAAGAAAATTGTCTAATGCAGCCCAATGAGAGAAGACTCCATTAGTGACTATATTGATTTTTGTACTCTTTCTGTATTATATATGTATAGAGACGAACAAGCCGTGCACCTGGTGGTTAGTGACACGCCTGTCCATGTCACTAGTTCGACACTTTAGCTGTCTTGATAAAAAAGACGGCGTTACGTAGTAAAGTCTATAAAGCTCTTTTGATTTTATAAATAACAAATTATTTTTATTTCGTCAATTTGTAATCACTTCAACCACATGAACTGCCTTCAACGACATAAAGGACGTATTACAGACAGATGATTTAAGTTTGTAGTATTCTCAAGTTGCTGGAATTGTGGCTAATTGGTGCTACGGCAGGATTGCGCCAATTAGCGATGGTCTGCTATTTAGGGTTTTGAAAACAGACGCACCAAACTGCCAATCACTAGCTTATATAGGTACTTTCGAATGTATGTTCGATTCACTTTGAATTATTTCATACTTTTCTGAATAAATTTGATATTCCTGTTATTTATGAATCCCAAGTTTCATATAGTAGCTCCGCTGAGAGAGCAATTAGTGCTTTCATTTCAATAATTTTCCTTTTAGCGGGTGTATAACTCAGTGATAACAATAAAAAATATCATTTCACTCCACGACGTACATGGGACTGTGGACCGTATCTATTTATTTATTGCATTGCATTATGTTGTACAGTAAGATCTTAAAACTATTACATAATATGTTCTAACCTGTTAGAGCACAGTAATTTAACTTACTTCACTACGTATACACTTATTACAATCGATGAACTCCTGCAAATCATAAAAAGTATTCGACAGTAAAAATTCTTTCAATTTGTTGATAATAATATGTTCCTTTTCAATATTTTTTATTGGCAGTGGTATTTTGTTGTAAAACTTTATTGCCTTAGGGTGTGTACCTGAAGAAACAATCTGCAAACTCGTAAAAGAACCAACTAATCTATTTCTTTTTCTTAATCTACATAGTTTAAGTATTATCATTTTCTTGTTGAAATAGATGACTATATTTTCTTAAGAATTTACAAATTTGTAATATATATATTGAAGTGAAAAGTCAAAATCTTTAAACTAGAAAAGTGTGGTCTACAAGTTTCAGTTCCTCTTATATTCATCAAAATCTCATATATTTGTTTTGCAAAATAAAAAGGTTGTCATGTGTGCTATTACCCCATTGTCGCGTCCAGCCTCCGTGGATGACCAACGTCCAGCCTCCATGAATGACCAGACTGAGAGGCCACAAAGACAGGCTTACTAGACTGACAGGAATTCGAAATTAGACCGACTTTCTTTGGACAAAAGACGACGACCGACCTTCCTTTCTTTGACAAAAAACAACGAGAGCAGCCCTGACTAAACGTCTGACGCAAGCAGACGACTTCTCCTGACTAAATTGTACAGACAGACCGTACACCCATAAAACAACACCATAACTCAACCAAGCATATGCATAAGCATAATATACTGTCAAAGCGGTTTTCAAGTTAGTACACTTCTTTAATTCAAATAAAGCGTACGAGAATCGTGCTAATTTTCCCGACACCTTATTAACATGATCTGTCCAACTTAGCCCTGAGTTGACTACTATTCCTAATAAATTACAAAATTCACTAATGCCACCATTGACTTACAAATAAATCGACGACGGGTCTAATACAAAAACCACGAAAAAAATGTCCCAAGTCAACCTATTCGAAATTTAAATTGTAATGTCATCGCAGTATCGCGCTGTCAGTAGAACAAATGAAGACTAAAGCGGAGTTTGGCGCTCTGTATACGATTTTAGCGCCTTACAAGTGCGGACACTTTTTAGCGCGGACCCGACGTCCATATAATTGTAAGTCAATGAATGCCACTCAACAATTTTCATACGAGAATTCGAATTTCATTGGTCGTTTTTGGCGCGGTTTTACTTGTATTAATTTAGTTTTCCTTATGTTTAATTTTAAATTGTGATCTGTTAGCCAGTCTATTATTTGTTTTAGGATAATAAGTATTAAGTTGTTGTTTTAATTCATTACTGTCTTCACATTGAAATAGTCAAGTAACGTCATCCGCATATAGTATGCTCTTTGTATCTAGAAGTTTTAGTAAATCATTAATATATATAGCAAAAAAAGGATATACCCCTACCTACCTTGAGGTATTGAATTTTTTACGACTAGTTTGTATCTGAAAATAGATAAGTATTTTTTGCACAAGTCGTAATGTTCAATATCTACAAACTGTTGCCGATTCTCTAAATAAGATGCAAACCATTTGTAGTCTATCCCTCGTACACCTATGCCATGCAATTTTCTCCAAAGAATGAGATACTTTTGTCATATGGCTTGCTCATAACTAACATAAGTGCAATAGCGTATTTACATCAAAACAACGAGCTAAGCGGGTTATTACATGGTTACTACAATAAATTTTAGTCATCAAAGCATACAGAAGCAGTATAACAATAACGTTTGTAAAGTTTTTCTTTCAGATTTTCAGATGTATAGTTTTAAGCTTTATAAATGGCAAATTTTGAATATCAACTGGAATTGTATTATACATTCCCTTAAATGAATTTGTAACTTACTGAATACGACTTTCCAGAATATTCATTTCGATTTTTTTCCTCATATGTATAATAATATCATGTCAATCACATCATGTTTATTACTATTTTTCACAAAAAATGCTGTTTTTCTTAATAAAAATTCTATTTTCATAAATGTACTTCGATGTTATTGTAAGCATAATTATTTATTTATTATCGCAGTTTGCAAATGGCATATATAAAATTATA